CAGCTCCCAGAATTCCTCAGCCAGCCGTGCATTGACAAAATCACCCTCAGTCAATTGCAAAAGGCAGCTTTACTTGGAACAGCTTCCATCCTGCGATGATACCTTTAATATTATTAAACAATCTCTGCCTGTCCCAGGACTCAATAGGTGGATAAAAATGCCAAATCCAGTCTAAACATCTGGCTGACTGTGCGACCAACAATAGTATTAATAATACAATTAAAGGAGAAGAACACTTAAATTTGACATCATCATCATCATCATCATCATTAATTTGTATGCCACCTGACTCTCAGGGACTGTAGGCAGCTCATACAGTCAAAGAAATTACAATAAAATCCATAAAACAGAGGCTTCCATGTCTTTGGGATTTCTCTCTTCTGCCATAAGCCCACCTCCCTCCTTAATCTTAATTCCTATCTGGCTAAAGGAATGTCTTAATTATCTTGGGTCAGTGTGAACTCGCAGGCAAACATCTGCACAGAACGAAGCCCTTCCGGTCAACCCTTCTAAGCTGGTTCTCCATCGCCAAAGCCAGCTGCATCTCTGGGCACCACAGGGGCTGAAATGCCAACCCTAAGAGGTTGAGAAAGGTTATTTAGGGCTTCTAGCTGCGGCTGGGGATTTGGCTGACAATCAATTTTATTTCGGTCATAGACCAGCATAGATTTAGCTGACCTTCTCCAGCCTGCCCTCCTGATGGGCTTGGGGCTGTGGTGGACCCTATTGGCCTCGAGATCTTGCGAACTGTTGCCCTGTGTGGAGGGCGCCAGTTTGGAGAAGGTTGCTCTGCACACGTAGCATCTTCTGCACGTCCATCTAATCCTTGGAATGCAATGTTCCCCCCCCCCAACCTTTCTCTTTTCTGACTTGTCCCTGCACACTCCCACCCTCCAGGTCCAGGCAAGCGAAGCGATGGAGGTTTTTGATGAACTCCTGGAGACCGAAGTTGCCATCGTGGTCCAGCATCTCTCAGAGGTCATGAGCTTCTGCCTGGAGGTGAACGGGTTGGGCAGCTGGCCGGGCCTCTTCCCTGCAACCTGCTGGCTGGGGATAGAACGGGCCACCCTTGACTCCTGCTTTTGCCACAGGTAGCCTCCAATCGGACGCTGAGCGACGGCCTGCGGGTGAAAGCGCTCTCCTGCATCAGCTACCTCATCAAGCTGAAGAGCAAGGTGAGGGCTGCCCCAGCACCACCCGGGCACCAGGCTCCCTCCTTTGCCTGCTGGACAGCCCGGCTCACGGGGCCCTTCGCCTTCTCTCTTCCCTCAGGCCATTTTGAAGCACAAACTCCTCTCGCCCATCCTAAACACCCTCTTCCCCATCATGAGTGCGGAGCCACCTCCAGGCCAGATGGACTTGGAGGATGAGTTGACAGAGGAAGACATCGAAGACCAGGCAGAAGTTCAGACACCCAAACACTTTGCAGTCCAGGTCTGCTGTGGGGGGCGGCTTGCAATTTCTCAACTTGCAGCATGGCTTCAACTCTCCCCAACTCCCAGGATGCTCTGGGTTTCATGGGCAGGGACTCTGCCTGGCTCCCTCCCAGCATTCCCGGGGCTCCCCCAGCTCACCGCTCCTTTGCCTGCACCCTGTCGCTGGGTCCTCAACTCCCAGCATGCCCCAAGCTTCTCTTGCCCCCTCCCCTGAGTTCAGTCCCAGAATCCCTTGCTGGGAGATCCCAGTTGGTCTCCCCTGGCCCTTTGCCCCACAGGATTCCTCAGTGAAACTTCTTTTCTGTCTCCTCCCAACAGGTGGTGGACATGTTGGCGCTGCACCTGCCCCCGGAGAAGCTCTTCCCTCAGCTGGTGAGTGTGAGCCTTGTTCTGGGGGGGGTCAGAATTACAACCCTGGGGGCCAACAGTGCCTTCAAAGTGCTCCTGTTGGTTTTCCCCCAGACTCCCCTGATGGAGCCAGCGCTTTTGAGCCTCAATCCGTACCACCGGAAGGCTGGGCTCATGTGCCTAGCGGTGCTGGCAGAAGGCTGCGGGGATCACATCCGCAACAAGTACGTACCCCAGGCGGGGTGGATGGCGACTCATATTGGGGTCTCTTCCTTCCACTTTGTAGCCTCCGGTCCAAGCATGCTGGTTTACTCTGCAAGTCCTTTTTCTGCCCTTCCATAGAGTAGGACGGTGGAGACCAACGTTCAACTCCATCCTTAGCCATGGGTGTCTTGTGGCCAGTTGCACTCTCGGTCCAGCCTACCTCACAGGGGTGTTGTGGGGAGGAAGGGAAGGGAGCTTTGAGCTCCTGGCAGAAAGGTGGGGTAGAAGCCTAATGAATTATTTCCCCGAATTCGCCGAAGGGCAAGGTTCATGCAAACCCCTAGCCTGGCTAGAAGGAGGCTAAGTGGTTGGGGGAGCCCTGCCGTTGCCTTAGGACGATGGCTTACCTGAGTGGTTGGCCTGAAGCTGTAACGGGGTTTAGTCTGGACATGGCTGTTACGAGGGAAGAGTCTTACAGGCTGGGCAAGGGGCTGAGCTCTGCCTAACACAGTCCACATTTCATCATTCTGTGATGTGCCAGTTCCAGAGCATTGCAGCTGGAAGAGGGTTCGAATTTGGGATTCTCTCCAGTTCTCTTGTGTGCAGTGGGGGAGAAGCTGCCCTGGGCTCTTAGGAGAAACGGAAAGATAAGATGTAGTAATATATCTCATCAGGGGAGAGCTGCTGCAGCAGATCTACTCCTCTGGATTAAATGAGGACCTCACATTTTGCAGCAAATATGTTGGTTGAGTCGCCCTTTCCCAGCATAAGCTATCTGTGCTAGGAATGTCAAGAATCCCTACGTGGGATGTAATCAGAACCCATTGAGGGAAGCCTTGAATGCCTGAAATGCTGTGAGCCCACTTCATATGTCAGCGTCCTTCCACTTACAGACATCTTCAGCCCATGTTGCAGGTGGTCTGCCGAGCACTGTCGGATGAAAGTCAGGTTGTGCGCAATGCGGCGCTCTTCGCCCTTGGGCAGTTCTCTGAGAATCTGCAGGTGAGCCATGCAGAAAGGAAGAAGGTGTTTATAATTTGGGTCTATTATTACCTTCCTGGTTAGACGCTCCCACGTGCAAGCAGATGTACTGTGTTTTAAGTCCCCCTGCAATCCAGATGTTTAATCCCCTTTTTAAGAAAGAAAATTCAGTGGAGTACAAAAACATTTTATTATATTTTTATTTAATATATTTATTTCTTAAGGCTGCCCGACTCCAAAAAGACTTTGGGCAGTTTGCAATTTTAAAAGAACACATCATATAAAAAGAAAAACATGAGTGCCCAGACGGAGCCACATTAATAACAACTAAAAAGTCACCAGAGGCTTCTTGGTAATGCTAACTAGAGGTTATGGGAGGTGGTCCAGTCACCTGGAGGACAGCGAGTTGGAGAAGTTGGACTTGGGAGATCCAGGTTCAAGTCCTCATTCAACTCCGTAATTCACCAGGTGACATTGTGCTAGTTATTTTCTGTCTCCTTGGACTGCCTTGCTGGGTTCTCCGAGAATAAAACCCTGGAAAGCTTCTTTGTAGGTCACCAGCAGCTCTGAAGAGAAAAGGCAGAATATAAGTGCAAGGAGAAAATAATGCAGGTTTGGTTTTCTTCAGCTGCCAAGGACTATAAAATAGCTTTCCCAGATCTTGTGCCATCCAAACACATTGGTCGACAGTTAGCTTCCAATATCTCAAAAGCCACCAGGCTGGGGAAGAGTACTGTCAAATCAGTGCTTTGCTTCTTATGAAGTTCCTAAGTTTTATCCCAGTCTTTTCCCTCCCCTGACCGTAGCCAGACATTGCTCGTTTCTCGGACGACATAATGCCACTCCTCCTGCGCTACCTGGAGGGAGTCCAGCTGGCCCACACCACCCACTTAGCCAAGGCCTACTATGCTCTGGAGAACTTTGTGGAGAACCTCGGTAAGAACCCTTGCAGCCTTGTTTCCAAATAAAGCCATTTTCTGGGCTCCCGCTGTGTGGGGAACCATAAACAGGAAGGTGCGTGTAACATCCTGGGCCAGAAAGTCCCTTCTCCTCCACAAGGCCAACACTTCGCCAAGGTGAAAAATAAACAAATTTTGTGAATTCAGCCATTAGTCCTTTAACAGATCTGGAGAGTCGTGTTGGATGAATATAGAAACAAGGTGCCAACCAAGAGTGCCTTGTCTTTGGAAAAGCCAGTTGGAGTGTTCTGGGACTAGTTCGTGTCTTCCTTACAAATCTGTACGCTCCAGTCCTTTCCTTCCCTTCCCTTAAGGATCTGAGACCCTTGCTCATTTATTAGTTCAGAGCAGTTCCTCGGTGGTGGTTCTCATCACCTGCTGAAATAGATAAAGGTTTACCCAACCTAAAAGAGGGTGGAGTCCAAGTTGGCCCCTCCTTCCACCTTTCTCTTAGAGGAGCCCCCAAACAGCTTGGCTGCAATTTGCTCTTGTTACACACCAAACCATATTTTCTTCAGCGACAGACGGGTTCACAGTAAGCCCTAAAGCAGTGTTTCTCAACCTCGGCAACTTTAAGATGTGTGCACTTCAACTCCCAGAATTCCCCAGTCA